AACCGACGACGCCGACGACGGCGACGGTGGCGACGCCGACGACGACGCGACGCGTCGACGGACGCCGACGCCGGACGACGACGACGACGACGGCGACGGTGGCGACGCCGACGACGCCGACGACGCCGACGACGTCGCCGACGCCGACGCCGAGCAGGTGCCGACGACGACGACGACGGCGACGGCGGCGACGCCGACGTCGACGACGCCGACGACGCCGACGACGACGACGACGACGGCGATGCCGACGCCGACGACGACGACGACGGCGACTACGCCGACGACGACGACGACGACGACGACGACGACGACGCGACGACGACTACGACGCCGACGCCGACGCCGGCGCCGACGCCGACGACGACAACGACGACGACGACGTGAAGGACGAGGACGACGCCGATGACGCCGACGACGGCGACGGCGGCGACGCCGACGTCGACGACGCCGACGACGCCGACGCGACGAGCGACGACGACGACGACGACGACGGGTGACGCCGACGACGCCGGACGCCGAGCCGAAGCCGGCCGCCGCACGACAACGACGACGGTGACGGCCCCGTGAAGAGCCGACCCTGGCGACGCCGGCGATGCGATTGCCGACGCGACGCCGACGCGACGACTGCCCCCCCGACGCCGACGACGACGACGGCCGACGCCTACGACGACGCGGACGCCGACGCCAGCGCCGACGACCACGGACGAACGACGACCGACGCTGATGCCGGACGACGCCGAACGACGACGGACGCCGACGCCGACGACGCCGACGACGCCGACGACACGAGGCCTCACCGACGCCGGCGCAACGACGACGACCTACGGCAAACTTTCTCCGACGACGCCGACGCCAGACGGACCCCGACGCCGACGACGCCCGACCCCCCCCCCCCCCCCCCGGCCGCCGCCGGCCGACGCTGACTCCGACGCACGACGCTGGCGCCGACGACGCGACGACGGGACGGCGACGGCCGGCGACGGCCGACGACGACGACGACCGGCCGACGCCGCCGACGCCGACGCGACGCACAGCGCCGACGGACAACGACGACGGCGACGGCGGACGGCGGCGACGCCGACCCCGGCGACGACTCCGACGCCGATGCCGACGCCGACGCCGACGCCGGCGCCGACGCCGTTGCCGGCGCCGACGATGACGACGACGGCGACGGCGGCGACGCCGACGCCGACGACGCCGACGACGCCGACGACGCCGACGCCGAGGACGACGACGACGACGCCGACGCCGACGACGACGACGACGCCGACGCCGACGCCGACGACGCCGCCGACGCCGGCGCCGACGATGACGACGACGGACACGCCGACGACGCTTACGACGACGCTGACGATGGCGCCGACGAAGCCGACGAAGCCGACGACGCCGACGACGGCGACGGTGGCGACGCCGAGGTCGACGCCGATGCCGACGCCGACGCCGACGCCGAGGACGACGACGACGACGGCGACGATGGCGATGTCGACGCCGACGACGCCGACGACCCCGACGCCGACACCGACGACGCCGACGGACGCCGACGCCGACGCGACCGCCGACGCCGACGACGCGACGACGCCGACGACGGCGGCGACGCCGACGCCGACGACGCCGACGACGCCGACGCCGACGCACACGCACACGCCGGCGCCGACGACGACGACGACGGTGACGCCGACGACGCCGACGACGGCGACGGCGGCGACGCCGACGACGGCGACGGCGGCGCGACGCGACGCCGACGCCGACGACCAGCGCCGACGACGACGGCGACGGCGGTGACGCCGACGACGACGACGCCGACGACGCCGACTACGCCGACGCCGACGCCGACTCCGACGCCGGCGCCGACGACGACGACGACGACGGCGACGGCGGCGACGCCGACCCCGACGACACCGACGACTCCGAGGACGACGCCGACGCCGACGCTGGCGCCGACAACGACGCCGACGCCGACGGCGGCCGCGCCGACGCCGACGACGCCGACGACGCCGACGCCGACGCCGTCGACGCGGACGCCGACGACGACGACGACGCCTGCGCCGACGACGACGACGACGGCGACGCCGACGACGCCGACCCCGACGACGCCGACGACGCCGACGCTGGCGCCGACAATGACGACGACGGCGACGGCGGCGACGCCGACGCCGACGACGCCGACGCCGACGACGCCGATGACGCCGACGTCGACGACGACGGCGACGGCAGCGACGCCGACGCCGACGACGCCGACGACGCCGACGCCGACGCCGACGCGACGACGACGACGACGACGGCGACGCCGAGGACGACGCCCAGGACGAAGCCGACGACGCCGACGACGGCGACGGCGGCGACGCCGACGACTACGACGACGCCGACGCCGACGACGACGACGACGGCGACGGTGGCGACGCCGACGCCGACGACGCCGACGACGGCGGCGACGCCGACGCAGACGCCGACGCCGGTGCCGACGACGACGATGACGGCGACGGCGGCGACGCCGACGTCGATGACGCCGACGACGCCGACGCCGACGACGACGACGACGACGGCGACGCCGAGGACGACGCCGACGACGACGACGACACCGACGACTACGACGCCGACGCCGACGCCAGCGCCGACGAAGACGCAGGCGCCGACTACGACGACGGCCACGGTGGCGACGCCGATGCCGACGACGCCGACGACGCCGACGCCGACGCCGACGACGATGACGGCGACGGCGGCGACGCCGACGGCGCCGACGCCGACGACGCCGACGACGCCGACGCCGACGCCGACGCCGACGCCTGCGCCGACGACGGCGACGGCGACGGCGGCGACGCCGACGCCGACGACGCCGAAGACGGCCGACGCCGACGCCGACGCCGCCAGCGCCGACGACCACGACGACGACGACGACGACGACGGCGATGCCGACGACGCCGACGACGACGACGCCGACGACGACGACGGACGACGACGCCGGACGCCGACGCCGACGCCGACGCCGACGCTGGCGCCGACGACGAGGCCGACGGCGACGGCGGCGACGCCGACGCCGACGACGCCGACGACGCCGGTGACGCCGACGCCGCCGAAGCCGACGAAAGGACGACGCCGGCGCCGACGACGACGACGACGACGACACCGACGGCGGCGACGCCGACGCCGACGACGCGGACGACGCCGACGCTGACGCCGGCGCTGACGATGACGACGATGGCGACGGCGGCGACGCCGATGCCGAGGACGCCGACGCCGACGACGCCGATGACGCCGACGCCGATCCCGACGCCGAGGACGACGCCGACGCCGACGACGACGACGACGACGGCGACGGCGGCGACGCCGACGCCGACGCCGGCGACGCAGAAGACGCCGATGACGCCGACGCTGACGCCGACGCCGACGCCGACGACGCCGACGACGCCGACGCCGACGACGCCGAGGACGACGCCGAGGACGAAGCCGACGGCGGCGACGACGGCGACGTCGGCGACGCCGACGCCGACGACGCCGACGCCGACGACGACGCCGACGCCGACGCCGACGACGACGACGACGGTTGCGACGCCGACGCCGACGACGCCGACGACGCCGACGCCGACGCCGACGCCGACGACGGCGCCGACGACGACGACGGCGACGGCGGCCACGCCCACGCCCACGCTGACGACGCCGACGCCGACGCCGACGCCGGCGCCGACGACGCCGACGACGGCGGCGCCGACGCCGACGCCGACGCCGACGCCGACGACGACGCCGGCGCCGACGACGACGACGGCGACGACGGCGACGGCGGCGACGCCGACGCCGACGACGCCGACGACGCCGACCACGCCGACGCCGACGCCGACGCCGACGCCGGCGCCGACGATAACGACGACGGCGACGGCGGCGACGCCGACGCCGACGACGCCGACGCCGACGTCGCGGACGACGCCGGTGACGCCGACGCCGCCGAAGCCGACCAAAGGACGACGCCGACGCCGATGACGCCGACGACGCCGACGCCGACGACGCCGAGGACGACGCCGACGCCGGCGACGCCGACGACGCCGACGCCGACGCCGACGACGCCGACGCCGACGACGCCGACGACGACGACCGACGCCGACGACGCCGACGACGCCGACGCCGACGCCGACGCGACGACGCCGACGTCGACTTCGACGCCGACGCCGACGCCGACACCGACGGCGAGGACGACGCTGGCGCTGACGACGACGGCGGCGACGGCGGCGACGACGGCGTCGGTGGCGACGCCGACGCCGACGACGCGACGACGACGCCGACGCCGACGCCGACGCCGACGCCGGCGCCGACGATGACGACGACGGCGGCGGCGACGCCGACGCCGACGACGCCGATGCCGACGACGCCGATGACGCCGACGCCGACGACGACGGCGACGGCGGCGACGCCGACGCCGACGACGACGACGCCGACGCCGACGACGCCGAGGACGACGCCGAGGACGAAGCAGACGACGCGACGACGGCGACGTCGGCCACGCCGACGCCGCCGACGCCGACGCCGACGCCGACGCCGACGACGACGACGACGGCTGCGACGCCGACGCCTATGACGCCGACAACGACGGCGCCGACGCCGACGCCGACGCCGACGCCGAGGACGACGCCTGCGCTGGCGCCGACGACGACGACGACGACGACGACGACGGCGGCGACGCCGACGCCGACGACGCCGACGACGCCGACGCCGACGCCGACGCCGACGCCGGCGCCGACGATGACGACGGCGACGACGGCGACGCCGACGCTGACGACGCCGACGCCGACGACGCCGATGCCGCTGACGCCGACGACGGCGGCGACGGCGGCGACGCCGACGCCGACGCCGCGGACGACGCCGACGCCGCGGACGACGCCGACGCCGACCACGACGACGACGACGACGACGACGACGACGACGCCGAGGACGACGCCGAGGACGACTTCGAGCTGCTGGCTCTCGGCGCGCGCGCTCCCCAAGCCTGTGGACGCCTCCCTCCCCCCACGCGCATGGCGCCGCGCGGCGGAGGTGAGGACGAGCCCGGGCTCGGGCAGGCGCACCCGCGGATCTTGAGGGGGGCGTCCAGGAGCCTCGGCCCTTTCTAGGCTTCGTTGGTGCGGTCGGAGGGTCGCGCCGCATCGGCGATGCATCGGCGATGCGGCTCGATGTGGAGCCCGATTTTCTTCATGCTGATGGCGCCGATACCTCGCCGAGGCGCCATCAGCGCGGAGAAAATCGGGCTCCACATCGAGCCGCATCGCCGATGCGGCGCGGTCTTCCGACTCACCATCCGACCCTATCTTTTCGGACCCCATCTAGGAGGTCTCTACTCTTTGGGCCATGAAGAGATGGTGACGGAAGGCTTGTCGCTATTTTCGGCTTCCGGGGGCCTTCATCTGGGCTTCCAGGCCGCCAAACGTCGGTTCACGATGCGTCGAGGTTTCCAGGGGCCGACGTTATCGAAGATCATGACTTCGAGGGTCTATGAGCGGGCTTGCTTGACACAATCCTTAAACCATTAAATGAGCACACGGAGGGCGCGGGCTGGTTTTTGTTTGAATACGTGGAGTTGTGGCTCACGCGATGCACCTTCGGCTCCTCTTTTCCCTTCCCCTCGGGGGTCCAATGCCTCCCCCCTCCCCCGTGCCCCCCTGCCCCCTCCCCTCCTGCCGATCATCTTCGGCCCTTGGCCCTTGAGTGCCGCGACTCTACGGTTTGCGAGGCCTTCGAGGGCAGGCTCCGCGGACCGCCTCGGCAGCGCCTCGGCCTCTGGGGCGGCGGCGGTGGGCCGGACGTGCCCGCGCCAGCTGGCCTTCGGCCGTTGCCCTACGTAGTTTCAACGATCGGGCGCTGGAGGGGCTCTGGTGTTCGGGCCGCTCCTCAGACGCAGGTCGTGGAGCCCGTTCGTGGTCGAGGCTCGCCGTGGGCAAAGGAGCCCATGCTTGCCTTACACAGCGCTCCTTGTGGCAGCACGATGGCTGCAGATTCGCTTCGTGTCCACGCGGCGGCAATCCCGCCGCGGGCGTGCAACCGTTGAGCGCCAGTGGCCAGGCTGGAACGACGTGGCGATCGAAAAAGTCGCCGATCAGTCAGGGTTGGACGACCCGCGCGGTATCAGAAACCAACGTCAGGGTCGCGACGGCACGAACTTGTCCTACCCAGACATGCTCGCGTCGCAACCAATCACGACGAGAGATGTTTCACAGTCTTCGGTATCTCTGGGCCCTCGCCGGGCCTGGTACCGTCAAACACAGCGTCTCGCGACGAGATGCGTGCCCTGGGGAAGGGGTCTAGATCTGCGGGGACCCTGCATGGAAAAAACACACAAGACGTCGCATGTGTTGATTCAGGCCGCTGTCCTACCTAATTGAAGACGGCAGGCTCGCGACGCCTTCGACGCCGCGGGCGTGCCATTTGGGACGCCGCCAGTGGGCCCAGGTGGAACGATTTGGCGATCGGAAAGCCGCCAATCGTGCAAGGTCCAAGGTTGGAACGAGCCGCGCGGAGTCAGAAACCAACGCCGGGGTCGTCAGGACACGAGTCTGCCGCCCCCCCCCCTCACCCTCTAGTCAGGCTGCAGACTGCGTCATGCCGTTGTCCTGACGGCCCCATCAGGCCAAGTCTGGCCCCCCAAGCCCGAGTCTTGCAGCTGGCACGATGGCTGAGAACAACCTCCGTCTCGGAGGGATGCCCTTACGCTCTTCGCCGCTGGGCCCCCCCACCTTACGATGTGCTTCGCTCTTGGTGTCTCCGTGCGTCCCTTGGCCCTCGGCGAAGGGGCTCGCCTTCTTGATCCACGGTCTGGTAGCCCTGTTTCGGGCTGGACGTCTCCCCGACTCTGCCCGCGCCTCTTCTCTGCTGCATCCCCCACCCAGTGCGCCCGCCCAGCCAGCCGCCAGGCCCAGCGCGGCTCTGCGGCCGCGGGCCCAGGCGAGGGCTCGCCGGAACGCGAGAGGTCGCCCGCGGGCGGCGGCTTTGCACACCGCCGCCGTGCCATGTCCAGGGCTTCAGTGTGGGATCGGGAGAGCCCGGTCGGTCGAGAGTCGGGGGCGGCCAACAGGGGGGGACGACTTATTATAACAGGGGGGGAGATCATGGCCGGGGCTACGAGATCTCCGCGGATTTCACGGCCCTTCTTCTTTCATTGCGTCCCCTGGTCCCCCCTTCGGGCCATGATTTGCGAACCCTCCTCTGGGACGCACCTCTCCTGGACACCCCCTCGAGAAAGGGGAGGGGAGGGCAAGGGGGGGTCACGAAACCTGCTGCGTACTCGACGCGTCCGCCGAGCGCCTTCCTGGATACAGTGGCGCCCCCGGCGCCAGGAGGCGCTGGTCGAACCAGGTCCCCCCCCCTTGTCGTCCGACCCGAGAAGGTGTGGTCAGCGTTCGGTCGGTCTTCAGGTGATGTTTGGTCAAGTCAAGTCAAGAAGCCATACGCCCATTGGCGCGTGGGCGAGACAACGCATTGCACTGTGCTGCTCCTGGTGGGCCTTGCGTCCGGCAGGGCGCGTGGGCAGATGAATGCGACAATTGGTACCGCGACGGACGCCAGAGAGCAAGCCGCAACACGGCTGTGACGCAGAAAAAGAACGGTGCGCCCCACGACTGAAGCAGACAATGTAGGACAATACAACACGATTGTGGGGAAGCCAAAGCAGAGGGGAGGGAGGAGAGAGGAGATGGGAGATGGGGGGGGGCAACTAGATACAAGCGAAATGCCGCATCATTCGTGTTCTTCAACAAACTGTGAAACAAACCGGCTCCAGTGTCGAATGTCTGCGACGCACTGGAAGAGAGCAGTCTCGGATTCGAAACAGCCCCTGATGTTATTATACAAACACTTCGCCCACTCGTGCCTAGGGCGCCCACGCTTCCGTGCAAGAGTGTCACTAATCGGCCTCACGCTGGAAGGTTAATTTCCGGAGCACGTCCGCGTCGTTGCTCTGGCCAAGTTTACCAAACCACATAAGTTGATGATGAAGTAGTTGACCACTGTACGATGTCGTCGCCGCCTGTTGTAGCACACTTCTGTTGGACACCTTCAAAATACAGGAATGAGGAATGTTCAGAATATGGCGCAGACACCTCGCCAGGAACCCGTCCAAGCGTCGTCTGGCGCTCTTGTTTAGCCAGGCAGAGTTCAAATAATACATCACTTTAGTCGTAACCAGCGCCCAAAATACGTTCAGCTTTCGTTCTACCTTGATGGACGTGTGCTTCCAAGCCCTTGTGTATTTTTGTAATTCCCCCCAAGCGCTCCCAAGTCGTTTAACTAACTCTTGCTTCATGTTGCCGGAACTGTATATCGTTGCTCCCAAATATTTCATGTGTTCGGTAGCCGGAATAGGGTTTCCATTTGGGGCCACAATTTGTAAGTCGCAGCCAGTTTGTATAAGTTGAAATTTATCCCAGTGAAGCTCCATCCCCATCGCTGCACCTACTTATGCAATTGCGCCCAGCAGTGACTGTAGTTGATCAGCGTACCGTCCAACCAACAGGGTGTCATCGGCGTACAGAAGAACAGACAGATCCCCAGCAGCAAGTGCTTTGAGCGATGCCTCGTCCAGTTTGTCTTCTGCTTTTTTGATCACCACGCTCATCACCATGAGAAAGAGGAATGACGATAGAGGGCAACCCTGCGCAATTCCCGATCCTTGGTTTCTGATGCTTGATTTCTGACGCCCGTCTGCCAGGCAGAAACGCCTGTTATCGTCAAAACTACCCATAAGAGAAAGCATGTGTGGTGGTACACCGAATACCCGCAGTGCGTCCACAAGAGCGGTCACGTTGATCGAGTCGAATGTTTTCTTCCAGTCCAGCGCAAGCGTAGCTACGGCTCCTCCCCGTTCTGCGTGATACAATTCGATATGTCTGCGCACAAGATGAATTGCATCGGTAGTACCCCTCCGCCTTCTGAAACCAAATTGTGTCGTTGTTAGTCTGCTCTCGGCCCTGGCGTCTTGCAGTCTCCCCAGCAATAGCGTTGCCAATAACTTGTAGATAACACACAACAGGCTGATCGGGCGGTAATTGTCGCACTGGTCGATTGGGCCTTTGTTTTTGTAGATGGCCGTGACATCAGCGTCGGGGCCCAAGAGACGGGGGTCAATGCAAACGGGGGCCAAGAGACCCGATTATTGGTCAAGAGACTCGGGTCAAACGGGGGTCAGTGCAACGTCAAGGTGATGCTTGGGAGGCCCGGATATTGTCGGGGCTCAAGAGACGGGGGTCAAGAGACGGGGGTCAATGCAAACGGGGGCCAGCCAGAATGCCAGATCTTTCCAGATCTTGCAGAGCCAAGGGTTCATTGACCCGGGCTGGGGCGCAGGATCCTGCAGGATTTTTCAAAGCCTGACTGACCCGGGTTCGGATTGAACCGGGCCAGTAGATCCCTGATGATATTGGTTTGGCTCGTTGCGGCCCTTAGGAAGCAGTTGAGCGGCTGATTGGTCAGGGCTCGGGCGGCTCAGGTGGCATTCAAGCAGCTCCCTTTAAGAGCCAGCGCTGACCTGATTGTTCTTATGATCCTTGCCACCGTGCCATCTGCACACCACCGCCGTGCCTTGGCCAGGGTTTCAGGGGCAACGTTAGGACGTCGTTAGGGCAGGTCAGGGTGCGGGGGCGGTGCAGACGGGTTGTCGCGGCAGCTTCGTGCTGCCACGGCGCGGCGGCGAGGCTGGCGAGGGCGTTCAGGCTTGGACGCTCTCTTGGCACCATGCCAGGGCCTAGAGGGCGCGGCCGCTCCGCGCTGGCGGATGGCCGCCCCCCCCATGGGGGGTCGGCCTCGCCTCGTTGGCGCACCGCGCCGAACGCGGAGGAGGAGGAGGAGGAGGAGGAAGAGGAGGAGGAGGAGGAGGAGGAGCGAATGGTGGGGAGCTGCCCTCCCGTGCAGGTCGCGGTCGCGATCGAGCTCCGCCCGCGCCGGCGTGCCGCCGCGGGAACGCTCCCGCTCCCGGGATGGCCGCGACGCGGCGGCGCCGCTGCGTGGCCTTGGCGAGGAGCCGCAGGAGCGCGGCGGCTCAGGCTCGCGGTCGCGGTCAAGCTGCCGCGCCCGCGGGCCGCCGCGGGGGCGCTCCCGCTCGCGGGGCGGCGACGGCACGGCGGCGGCGGGGCGGCCCGGGAGCCGAGGGCCGCCAGCCTTGCAGGTGCAGTTCGCTTGGGCTGCGCAGCTGTTCCAGAGGACGGAAGTGCTGAGCTTCGGGCGCCACGTTTACAGGACGCAGCGAGCGAGTGGAAAGACGCACGCGTGTTATCAGAGGAGGGCGAGTTGAGAGAACGGTCGTTGGCCTTCTGAGGGGGCCCTCGTCGCCACGGTTGGACGCAGCTCGGAAAATTGGTGCGTTTGGACCCTAGGTGGAGTATGGGGATCGATTTTGAGTTGCCCTTGTCTTAACTCGCCCTGTCTCAATTCGCCCTGCTCCGATTATGATTTGTTGTGGGTCTCCAGAGTGTCAATGGCCTTCGGCCCATCCTGCCACCGTGCCTGGTTTGTGGCTATGAAACCTAAGTATTGGATGTTTGTTGGGATCTCGTGCGAGGCCTCGTGGAGGCAGTTTTGAGGCCTCTTGGGGGCCGTTGCCTCTTGTGGGCCTCTTTGGGGCATCTTGGGGGCCTCTTGGGGCTTCTGGGGGCCTGGGCGTTGCGGGAGTTCTCCTGGGAGCCTCTTGGGCAAGACGGCTAGGATTTTCGGTTCCCGTTCCCTCTCTTGGGCCCATTTAAGGGCCCTCGTAGGCCGTCTTGGGCGCCTCTTGTGCCGTCTTGGGGCCCTCTTGGGTCGTTTGGGGGTCCTCTTGGAGGCCTCGTGGGCCGTCTTGGGACGATATTTGGGGCCTCTTGGGCCGTCTTGGAGCGTCGGGAAGCCGAAAAGGAGAGAATGACTCTTGACTCTTGGGGCCCTCTTGCCAGGACTCTTGGAGGCCTCTTGGGGCCTCTTGGGCCGTCTGGGGGCCATCTTGAGCGTCTTGGAGCGATCGTTCGCCAACTCGGGGCCTTCTTGGACCGTTTTCGAGGCCTCTTTGGGGTCCTCTTGGCCCGTCTGGGGGCCCCCTGAGGCCCGGCAAAGCACAGGGGACACGCAGCAAGCCCTAAGAGAATTCGAACATTTGGGTCCGGGCCCCTGGAAGATTCCTCACGACTGAGGACTGAGGCTCCAGGGATGTGGCAAAGGACCTGATGACACGCTCGCTCCTTGCCCGGAGGCACGGTGGCGGATGTACTGCTCGAACGTTCGTAACACAAGGTTGGCCTTGCGGATTGGGTGGCCGCTTTGGTGGAAATACGTGGCCAGGCGCGCAGGTTTCTCAAGGCTTCCTGAGTTCGGGGGGCTGTCACTGTCTCTTGGGGCCCCGTCCTCGCGCTCGGGAGCCCACCGGAGAGAGCCCATCGGCAGCGCCCACATCGGGCTGGTGCGAGTCGGGCGGCCTTCCCAGAGGGCGGGGGGGCCTTTCTCGGGGTGCAGGGACCCTCTGAGATGGCTTCTACGAGGGCCCCTGCCTGCTCGGAAGCCCCACGCCTTACTAGAAGGCCGCCCCCCTCGCGCCACTCCTTTGTGGGCAACACCACGCCCAGGGTACGAAATCAATAGGAGTGACGGGGTTGTTCAGGGGCAGCCTGACGCGGTGCTGAATAGACTTAGGGGGGGAAGCATCGGCCCCAATCGCCCGCTGATCGCTGGTAGGGGCCCGATCGCCCACCCCGCACAAGAGCGCGCGGATTCGCAATCGGGGGTCCGTCGCCGATCTATCGGCGATATGTCGCCGATTCCAGGTCGACCTTTCCCCCCCTTAGCTGGTCCCCCGCCGACTGTTCCCCCTCACCGCGGCGCGACATCCATGAAAGTGTTGGTGTTGTGGACCTCTGCGACCGTTCAAAGTTGAACCGTTCGAGAGAGGCACCAGGGCCGAAGTCGTCATAGCAGGGACGCGCCGTACGTGGAACTTGCGGGGGGGTGGGTCACAGGCAGTGGTTGCTGTAGTGTTCCCAGGTAGCCTTTGTCGGCCCCAGGTGGCCTCGGATGGCCTCAGATGGCCTCAGATACGCAGTCTTGGATTGCTTTGATTATGGCGCGATCAGCGGGGCCGCAAAGAAGGTCCCCCCTGAATATCCTACAGGTGGGGGGATTCACAATCGGAGTCGTCGAAGGATTCACCCTCCCATTGTCGCGAGAAAGATCTCATTGAAATTGTAGGGCCACACTACGCTTGCTTCCAGAAGTCGCCGCACGGGTACCAACCACCCGAAGAGGACCCGCGGCTCATTGGACGGCCTGGGGGGCCTGACGCTAAGCTACAGCATGCGCCAGGGCGGCTCCTGGGAGCTGGGGAGCCCGTCTGGCGGCTGCCTCTACCACTTCAGGAGCGATGCCGAGACGCCGACGGTGCTAGTAGGATCCCTAGAGAAGGCAAATGCACACCACAGGTCCAGCTCAGGCCCACCTGGGGCCAGATCCTGGTGCGTGCCGGCTCCCGTGGCCAGGCAGGGAGGCCACATGCGCGAAGAGTTGGTCCGAGCGGGGGCCTGGGTTGGCCTGCCCTTCGCATCCAGGTGCAACGTCAGAGAGCGATGCGCTCGGGGGGGGGGAGCGCATCGGACCCCAGTCGCCCGGTCGTCGCCGCCGGGGCCCGACAGCCCCACCTCGCCCAGGCCTTTGCGGATTCGCTAGCGTGGGCCTGTCGCCCAGCTATCGGCGATGTGTCGCCGATCCTGCCGCGATGGTTGCCTCCCCGGCTGGTCCCCCCCCACTCCTCACGTTGCCCCTCGCGCGTATGCATCTGCCTGTTGCCGACAGGGTGCCACCCGTGGTCGCGGGTTCCAAGCGGCGTCTGCCACATCACCGTGGGCCAGCGCGCCGAGGTGGAGGAGCTCTGCGGCTGGGTCGACCCCGGGCTCTTCGCTCTCGAGCCGGAGCGAGGTGTCTGAGAGGGGCGCCCCGGCGCGCCCTTTTGGGCGTCACCGGAGTGGGCGTGTTGCGTGGACAAGTCCGAGGTCTCCATCGAGTTCGGGGCGACGCCGGGGCCGACGACCCAGCAGACGTTGCCGCAGGTTGCGGCCCGCAGTGCCTGGAGCAGTTGGTTGCGAGGATCGCCTTGGCCTTGCGTATCTCGAAGGCGAACGCTTGCTTGTAGACAGGAACTGTTTGAGGTCCGCGCGGATTTCTCCGAGGGGCGTCGAGCACCTCTGGAAGTGACTCTGGCGCCGACCCTGGCTCTCTCCGCGCGCTAGAGAGGATGGGGGTCCAGCGCCGATCCAAGAAATCCGCGCGGATCTTGTTTTTTCCCCCCCCCGAAATTCTACACGCTTCGCATAGCCCCACCAGTCCATCCAGAAACGATGCCCAGACTAGTTGCCCTGATCAGGGGTGAGTATGGAGGAGAAGTCGGAGAAGGAGCAGGAGGAGGAGGAGAGAGGAGAAGGGGGAAGAAGGATAAGGAAAAGGGAGGAATAGGTTGAGAAGGAAGAGGAAGAGGAAGAGGAGCGTCCTTGGGCCGTCTTGGGGCGCCCTTGGGAGTCCCAGGGGTCATCTTGGGGGTCATCTAAGAGGAGATCGATCAAAGGAAGGGGGCTCCTTATTTAGGGCCCTCCCCCCAGGAGGCCAGCACGTGGTCAAAACATGTCTCAAACCAATGATTGTGGCTTTCTTGCCGAGGCTGGTTTGGACGAGCTGGCACCTCGCGACCACCCGCCCGTCCAGGTCCAGGGGGAGGGAGTAAGGGGGACGGGTCAAGACACCACCCCTGCACGCAAGCCGTCTCGATCATTCCATTCCCATCCGCCTTCCCAACACATGAATGACACTCGAGTCTCTGTGCATGCCGCCTAGGAACGCCACACATGCCATGTGCGCCACGGGTTCCAGGTGCACCAGGCACCCCGGAGGCCCAGGCGTGGCAGCGCAGGCAGCAAGAGGTCTCTGTCAACAATCGAGGCAAAATGGTCGCTGGCCGCCTGCGCGTTCTCCAGGTTTGTAGGCAACATGTATTCTATATTGTTTTCTGGCAGGGATGGTTGGCCTGCGTCAGCAAGCATAATGCCAGTACCCCCGCCGTCCTGGTCAAAAACAAATGATCGTGGGGCGTCCGCGCATGCTCCAGATTTGGAGGCAAAGTGCATGTTGTATTGTTTTTTAACCAGGGATGGTGGGGTAGAGGTCTCATTGGTCCTGGTTGGCTGCCGGTCGCCTGGGGGAAAGGGGTGTTTATTTATAAAGAACAGTGATGAAACACCCAGCCCACCCGCCCTCCCAACACATCAGTAGCACCTGAGCCGTGGCGTGTTCAGAGGTAGTTTTTGGATTGACAGCTAATGGGAACCAAATCAGACCCCATGTGCGCAACGCGGGGGCGAGGTGCGCCATGCGTGCCAGGCGCGCCACGCGCGCCAGGTGCGCCAGGTACGAGAGTGGCCCAAGCGTTCCGAGACGCCTGGTGAGCCATAAGCGCTGTGATCCACGTGCGCCATGTGTGCTACCTGCGCACGTGGCAGCACACATCAGGAATCGTGTCGGCCTCCGCCACCCTTGTCGAAAACCAGTGCGCAATCACAGCGGATTGGCCATCATGGTGTTTGGTGGGCCCGCGGGGTGCCTGCGCATGATCCAGATTTTGCCCCGAAGTGCATGTTTGCATGTTGTATTGTTGATTGCCAGGGTTGATGGCCCTGCGCGCAGCATGCAATATGCGGCCCTCCTCCCGCCCCTGTCAAGAAACTACACAAAGTGCCCGCGCCCCACCCCCCCGATCATGACCCAAGCTTTTTGTCCCAAAGTGCATTTCACATGGTTTGTGGACAGGGCTGGTGGTGGAGGTGGTCTCATTGGTCCTATTTGGCTGCCGGCCGGTCGCCGGGGGGAATGGGTGTTTATCAATAGTGAACAGTGATAAGCCCCTCCCCGAAAGGGAAAGGGGATGGAAGAGGAAACATTCTGAACCACTCACGCCTAGAGGGCTGGTGGGATTCCCTCCCCCCTTTCAGCCAACATGTTGCCAAAACCTTACTAACATTAGTGATGTTGGCATTCTCCCTGAGGCCTCTTTGGGCGTCTTGGGCGCCTCTGAGGAGCCTCTTGGGGTCTTCTGAGATCCTCTTGGTGGGATCTTGGGGGCCCCTTGAGGGCCTCTTGGGGCCTCCTGGGCACCTCTTGCGGCCGTCTTGGGGCACCCTTGGGAGCCTCGGGGGCCATCTTGGGGCCATCTTGGAGGAGATCGATCGAAGGAGGGGATGTAGTAAATTCTAGACGCTTCGCGCATCCCCACCAGCAAAATCTAGTGGGTGGACTACGTGGCGGAATACGGCGACGGGATCACGGGCGTGAAGACCAACGAAGAGTCTTGGCCCCCCCAATGTCTGCGCCTTTTCCTGGTCAGCATCTACGGACAGACGATCCCAGACAAGTGCCATCCCCCAGGTATCCCATGGGACAGCCAACGGGCGGCAGCGGCACGGGTGGTTTCCCACCTGACGCGGGCCAATGTGATGCATGCGAGCAAATGGCAGGCACACGCAGCCAACCTGGATGAGCAGCGAGGCCTCTGCCCTCTCCGCCACAGGCTCAGCACCCCAGTGCAATACCTCGTGGACATGGACCCCACGACCCTCGCAGACGGCACCATCAACTCACTGGCGAAGCTGGACCCGGCCAGTGCAGACCGCCATGGAGGCCGCAGTCGCAGCGAACTCTCCAGCAGCATACTGGCTGAACAGACCCAGCGATGCAGCAAACGCTCCCCAGCCAGACAGCACGTTTCGGGAACAGGAGACACTTCCGGGACACTCCCCCAGGATGGAGTACGAGGCTCCCAGCAACGAAGGGACCAAGGACCGGCCCACGGACGTGCAGGGCAGGTGCGGGCAGGCATGCAAGACCGAGGGCGAGCACGATGCGCCTGACTGGGGGGATGACCCAGCCACAACCAAGGAAACGAGCCCGAGCGCGAGCCTAGACCCGGCCGCCGACGAGGACGAGGGAGCAGACCTCTTCGACCCCCTCGGTGCATTCACGGAAGCGTCTCCAAGCAGCAAGCCCTGGACGCCCTATTCACAGACCGTTGACCAAGTTGCAGCCCTGGAGCTCCGGAGTGCCAAAGACGGCACCAGAAGGGGCAGCGCATCGTCTTGGGATCGCACGGGGGCCAGAATGGACCGCGCCCAACCGCACCCCATGGGACCGAGGACGCGACCGTCCTGCCTCTGAAGACGTCGAAGACGGGAGAGGGCGCCCCGCCAAGTCCCTAAGGGGGAACCACATGCGCACGGAGGCTCGCAGGGCGCCCTGGAAGGACAGCAGGGGTGCTCAGCCATACTACGAGAACCTTAACGGCCCAAGGGCGGCGGCCCCATGTACAGATGCACGATTGCAGCCGCAGACGCGGAAAAGGACGAACCCATCCAGGACAAAATCACACGCCTGCAAAAGACATCGGGAGGCTCCTTCAACGCTATCTGGCATGCGTGGGTTAAGTGGGCTGCCCTGAGTCAGGACCTCAAGGGAGGCTATAAGAGCAACCCCAAACTCAACACATCCACAACGTGCGCGGACTTCCTGGAAGCATGGGCCAACGCTGGCTACGACGCATATCGGATGGATCGGGAGCTCAGACTCGGCGTAGACTGGGTCGAAGTTCGGAACAAACACATGAACTTCCCCGTGCGACACGACGCCCCCGCACACGCCCCACGCGAATACGGCAGCCGCGACACGCCAGCTCCCTGGACTGCCGCGAGCCGAACGGTTACGCGCACAGCGGCACAGGACCCCTGGGCTGGAGCCATTGGAACTGCCACCCCCAGCCAGTGGCGGGGCTGGCAAGAGTGGTCCCCGTGGGAGCGGCGAGATACCTCATGGACGGACCCCGATTGGAAAGGCAAGGGAAAACGATACTCTCCACGAGGGGGCGACCGCGACTCTGACAAGCGGGCCCGCTGGTGGGGCAAGTGCGACTCCAACGCCCAAGGTTGACGTGCCCCCGCCACGGCCTACCTCAGTGTCCAGATACAGGCCCCTGCCCAGAGTGGACACCTGCCCCCCCCTCCCCCAGCCACCCGTGGCCCTGAAGGGGCTCGTTTCACCTGCTGCGCCCGGCCCAGGCCGCAATCCCCGGGGCCGCCCTCCGCCGGGGCGAAGGCTCACCCCCGCGTCTCACCCGTGGCGCAGCTGAGCTAGACAGCCCACGCTGGATCAGTGGACCGTTGGGGGATCTCCCACCTGCGCCCGACATCTCACCCTCACTGGCCCTGCGGGGCCCGCCTGGCTCACGCCAGAGCCGCCAGAAGGTCCCCCAGGCTCCCGGCCTTTGCTGTCCGATGACGACAGCCGGCTCGCGGGCCCTCGGCGGGAGGTGGGCCCCAGCACCCCCCTCCTGCCTGGCCGCGGGCTTGACCTATCTAGGTCTTAGTTTTGTCACACCGCAGGCGCCAGAACATCGGCGGCGGTTACCTGCGACCCTGGATGAACCAACACACGCCGCCCCCACGGAGGTTCCGGCTTCCGCGTTGGCAGCCCAGCCTTCGAAGAGCGCGTCAGTCCACCGGCTGCAGGCTGCCCACTCTGGACCACACCAACATCGGTCGAAAGACCGACCATTCGGTTCTACTTGCACTTCAGCGGCGGTTAGCTGCGACCCTGGATGAACCTTGGGAAGTGGCGGCCGCGCCCCCTGGCCAGGTGCACCTGGGGCCCTTTCGAGGGGCGGTGATGTTCGTCCCCGCCGCTTCTCTCCTCAGGTCCCTCTCGGGCCGGGCCCTGGGCGCGCCCCCCGCCCTCGGCCTTCGCGGCTGCCGTTTCCCTGCGCTTCCCTCGCAGGGCGCCCCCGTGGCGCCCCTCCGCGTGGGTGGTCGGTGACGTCTCCCCACCGCCCCCCCCTCCGGGTCTCTTTCTGGCCGGGCTGCCGCCAGACGTGCCGGCTGGTCTCGGAGGCTCTCGT